AAGTTAGAAATTTTTTTTTATAGTTTTCTATTAATAAATATCTGTTATAAATTATTTGTATTAATTAATTAATATTACATACTATTAAAAAAATATTAATAAATTTATATGAAAATATCATATTATATTATATTTTAGTATTTTATTTAAATATGTTATATTAATGTATAGACAAAATAAAAATAAAAATACTTTTTATATTATAATATCATATTTTTAAGTAATATAAAGTATTATTTTTTATGCATTAATTTTCAAAATTTTTCATTTACTTTTTTTTGATCAAATTAAAATTAAATAGTTTTCAAAATAAATACAATAATATTATTAGTGTTTTTTTTTTGAAATTATGAAATTTTATATATTAATCGGTTTTATTGTTGTGTTTGTAACCAATGGTTTGCATTCAATTAGTATCAAACACTACCCGTCGGTAACTGAGAACAACTGTGGTATCAGTCGGCAGTCATTGTTGATGAACGGCGTAAACCACTGTTTCAAGTGGTCATCAAATAATAATGTGACCACAAGTGTCCAAAACGGACGGTTAGCTCAACCGGGAGAGTGGCCTTGGATTGCATTCATTGATATATACAAAACATTTTGGGGTTTCAAATATGACAAGTATTTTCATAAATACATAAATTTATATTTAAATTAATTATTTATTTAAAATATAAAGTAAAATATAATCTATATTTTTTTTTAAAAATAAATACTTAAAAAAAATTATCTTATAATTTCATAAATTAATTTTTTAAACAGTAAAATGTGTACAGGAGTTATACTAAATAACAATTGGATTTTAACAGCAGCGCATTGTATATTGTAAATATAAAAAAAAAATTTATACAAAATAATTATTAAATAAATTATATTATTAACAATTTAGTTACCGTAAAATTGTGCTTTTCCATTCCCCATATAGAAATGTCAAAATCATGGGAAATAATGCTAGTTTTCTCACAATAAGAAAAATATTGATTTTTTTTTACTTTTAATAATAATTTCTCGCCCCCACTCCTGTTTTTATAAAATATATTTTCATGATATCCCCCACCCCCTTTAAATTGGACGTCTCTAATTGTTCCGAAACCATTATGAATATGCTATCAATTACCAACGATTTATTGTTATATTATAATTATTATTATTATCGGTAATATAAAAAATATACCGTTTTTTTAAATAGATTTATATTAATTATATGTCATTATAGTTTCCTAGTACCCCCATAATTTTGGTTTTTTTCACACTAACTCGTTTAATTTACCAGGGGTGGTAAAAAATCTGAGTTTATAACGGTATAAATATTTTTATTTTATTTTTTAAATTCCATATGGGAAATAAAACACATGATTTTATAAGTAATCATTTGAAATCAATAATCTATATTATTTATAAAAAATATTTATTTATTTTAATTAATTATATATAAAAAAAAAGTATCGATAATACAATTAGTGTACGACTAGTTCGCGATTATAGTCAACATACTAGTCATGTATACGGTGTGGATATGTATGTAATTCATCCAAATTATACGGTATTCATGAATACTAGACCCGGTTTAGAACAGGCATACGATATTGCATTATTGAAACTGTCGTCAAATATATCGATGACTACAACAACAACAACAACAGAGTCAACGGTTGGAAGATATCCGACAGTTAATGCCATTTGTTTGCCCGACAGAGACATTGTTAACACCGATAAAGAGTTGGCATTGTTTGCCGGTTTCGGTAATATTGATGAAAATTATGTCACAAATTTGGGTCCATTGCGTACGGGTTGGCTGCGTATGAATGAACCGACTAATACAGCATTGGATCGTTGGACTTATTTTATTAGAAGCAATAGATATCTTATAAATGATGGCTTAGGTATCTGTCCGGTTAGTATATAATAAAATACAAATAGAAATAATATTAATAATGTGTGGTTATGTGTAGTTATGTGTAGTTATGTGTGGTTATGCGTGGTTTTGAGTGGTTTTGTGTGGTTATGTGTAGTTATGTGTAGTTATGTGTAGTTATGTGTGATTATGCGTGGTTTTGAGTGGTTATGTGTGGTTATGTGTAGTTATGTGTAGTTATGTGTAGTTATGTGTAGTTATGTGTGGTTATGYGTGGTTTTGAGTGGTTATGTGTGGTTATGTGTGGTTATGTGTAGTTATGTGTGGTTATGTGTGGTTATATGTGGTTATATGTGGTTATGTGTGGTTATGTGTGGTTATGTGTGGTTATGTGTGGTTATGTGTGGTTATGTGTGGTTATGTGTGGTTATGTGTGGTTATGTGTGGTTATGTGTGGTTATGTGTGGTTATGAGTGGTTATGTGTTGTTATGTGTGGTTATGTGTAGTTATGTGTAGTTATGTGTAGTTATGTGTGGTTATGCGTGGTTTTGAGTGGTTATGTGTGGTTATGTGTAGTTATGTGTAGTTATGTGTAGTTATGTGTTGTTTACGTGGTTTTGAGTGGTTATGTGTGGTTATGT